AAGAGAGATTTTTTTTTTTTTTTTTTTTTTTTTTGCCATGATGGTTGTAGCTGGTTGCTCTGGGTTTCTCTGCTAGTACAAAGTTTCATTTTATAGGAATCTTAGGGAATCAGGAACTTCGTTGGGTACACATGGGTATCTCTGTTAACCTTAGCCTTTTTGAGGAGACAAAAATATTACCTTAGGTTATTTTATACATACATGAAGTTTATATATTGTATCAGAGGTAGGAAATGGGACTTTAAAAATAAAATGTCTTGCTTCATATTTTGACCATTTCATTAAAAAAAAAACCACCATCAGAAAATCATTTCTGACTCAGTCTCCAGTTTGTCATGCTTACTTTGAGTAGCTTTAGGGAAAGAATGAAAATAAATGAAATGTGAATATATATCATAAATATTTTAAAAGATATATTTCATATGTGCATATTTAAAATTAAAGTGATGTCTTCATTTGTTTTCTTTTTAGTGCTCTCTGTGACTACTTCATGACACCAACTTTGTGTTTCTTTATACAGGAAATGCTTCTACAGAGAAGAATGGAGTTTCTTTCAGTGTTCAGAATGGAGATGTGTGCCTTCATGATCTCACTGGGAAACAGCACATGTTTAGCGAGAGAGAAGAGCCTTGTAATGGTAAAAGCCGTGTGGCTCTCAGAAGGACTTCGAAGCGGGGAAGCTTACACTTTATTGAGCAAATGTGATTCCTTTTTTCTAAAGTCAAAGCATGATGCTTAGTGGTGTGAAATACCCGATTTTACCTTTTATGCAATGTGAGATGGATGAAAATCAACTTATACTCAGCAACCTCTGGAGGAACATAAGCTAATTGAGGGCAAAGGTTTCTATTAGAAGAGGAAACTAAGACATTATCTTGGTCTTAAGACATTTGTGATTTGGTTTGGTATCCTTTATTTTAAAAGAAGATTAGTCTTAACACATAAGAATAGACTCATGTAAAAAGATAATTAATTTCAGCCACATTTTAAAGAGGCTGAGTTATATTTGATAACATCCTAGAAAGCAACTGTTGACTTCAGCCTGTTGGTGAGTTTAGTTGTGCATGCCTTTGTTGTATATAAGCTAAATTCTAGTGACCCACGTGTCAAAAATCTTACTTGTACCTTTTTAATATTTATTTTCTACTGTGTAAATGTATTCTTTTGTAGAATTGTGATTGTGCTCTTTTGTCTAATGTGATAACTCAGAAAATCCTGATTCAGTGAATTCTAAAGCTCCTTTTGTGGGCTGTGATTATGTGGGCTGTGAAATACAGAAACTTCACTGAAATAAAGAAATAATATACTGGAAAAATTAAGCAGACAGTGCCGCAGCTAGTTCTTACAGTGCCTTTGAGTGAGTTAGAAAAAGGTATCCCTACTGGGTAGCCACAGCCCCATGGGTTATGGTTTGCCAAAGAGTGGAGTTGTATTTTAGCCCCTCTTGAGTGCACCCTTATACAAGGTATGATCTGTGCAACTACACATAACATCCAATACCAGTGCTCATCCCCAGACTTCAGCCCTAATGATCAGATTATAGAATTGTACCAAGATGTTCAGCTTAATACCTTGGTCACAGGGAGGGATGAAACTCTAATCCAGACCATATGTCAGGAAGATTGTGAATGTGGAGGAGATACATATACTGCCAATTCTCAAATACCCAGAGCCTTTCGGAAGCAAGGAATAGAGTAGGATTGCTTTTTTAAAATAAATATATATGAAACAAATCGTATTGCTATTCTTTAAAAGGCAACCGCTTGATACAACCGGTACACTCTGGCTCTACCAGATTTCTAATTATTTTTTAAAACATGTCAAGTCTTGAAGAGTGTATAGTGACAAGGGGGAGCAGCTACCAGGAACAGTAAACTATGCTGTAAGATGCTGTTGTTTCTGCATATATCAAACCCTAATTGCTCCTACCAGTAGTTAGATAGGGTCATCCTGCTTCCCACTTACACCTGCTGGAGCAGGGCCTCAAGTATGCCCTTGTTAGGAACATTTCAAAACCCTTTAGTTAGGTCTTTCACTAAGGCTCCCTTGCATATATTTCAAGAGAATGTTGTATCTGACTAACTGTAGTAATAATATAATACATTGCTGTGAGTGCTGATTCATCTTTGCAATATTTCTTCTCTGATTTATTTAATTCCTTGTATTTATGTGTTAAAATCAACACAATTGTTAAAATCAATGAAATAAATTTGCAATTAAGTCCTTTAAGTTTGATAATTTTTACAAAGAGAAATTATTTGCAGTGTGTTTCCCTGGTGGTGTGGCATGGAAATGATAACCTGTACCTGATGAAGAACAACACAACAGCAATATCTTTGGGGAAACAGTGAGCATCCTGGGACTGTGAAATTGAGCAAGGGTTGTCCTGCATCATGATGTTAGTTTCTGAGGTCTCCCATTTTCCCATTGCTCTTTCAAGAGTCTCTCTTTAATGCATGTTGCCATGCAATGTACAAGACTCAGATTTCATCTGAGTGTCTGCTTCCTCAGTATCAAGCAGTTGGATTTCCAGATGGCGAGGACAGGATTTGGAGGGCTCTGGATTGCTGGTTAGAATGTGGGAGCCACAAATGGGAGAAGCTGGCTTCACCCAGGTAAGAGGTCTCTGAACAATCTCTCCTTCCAAGATTCTCAGCTTCCACACAAAGGCTAAGTACTAAATTGATCTAGCAGGTGGTGGAACACTCTAGATTTGGGGGAAGGAGTGAGACTGCAGAAGTCAATCTCTTGAAGCAGATTATGTACCCCAGTGTACACAAAAGGAAACATAATGCCCAGTGTTGCTTAGATTCCACCCACCCTTATTTTTCCTATTTTGTGTCTTCCTCCTCTTCTTCTCCTTGTCTTTCTTTCTTTTCCTCTTCCCTCCCTCCCCTCCTCCTTCTTTTCAGAGATAATAGGACAAGACAGAGATGAATCCTACTTTGGATATAAAACTGGCCCCACAAATTTGATACCCTATTGTGGACAGAGGTGGTGCCATTATTAGGAGGCAAGGAATATCAGAGCCGTGGCCAGTGTTTGAAGAACTATTTCCTCAGAACATTGCAGAAATTTTTCCCACACACACATTGCAATCATTAATCTACACAGCAACTTTATTGACTTCAGTGAGCAGTACTGTATCATGACTGTTCTCAAAGACTGCTCCACTCCGTGCTTGGATGGTGTCTAACAAGGTCATCTAGGAAGCAGGTCAGACTGTTGAAGACTATTTCAATAAAGACCTAATGTACTGAATGACCACTTCACCAAGTGGATTTGTTTGGTGTCATTTTTTCTCCATAACAGTGTTGAAGGACTGTTCAGTATGTCTCTGCCTCAGCTACTTGTTGCTATAGTTGGGAGTCTGAAGGACAGGAAAAAGAAACCTGAGTGCGCATAAGAAGAACATAATCATGAATGTGAAGAATTTCTTATCAGTGTTTTCTTTCTTTTTCACCTTAGTGTTGAGATACAGCATCAAGAAGTCAGAGCAGATCAAAATGGAATGTATATTCATCCAGAATATATTCTTTTAAATATATTTAATAAAAATATTCCTCATTGTAAAGAAATCTTGTGCTCCCTGGTGTTTCTTCTTACCTCTCAGTCTCACACTAGCTGTAGGAAGCTACAACAGAGACAACTCAACATTATTTAAAGTGTTGTAATGAAAACAAATTGAGCTCCAATTAAAATTAAGCTATCATAGAAATAATTGAATTCAAGTTTATTTTTAGCAAATTGATTTAGAATTCACCCTCTCCTCTGGGGCAAAAGATGGAGTGTGTTTAAGTGTCAAAAACCTGAATCCTCCAAGAGAAAGATTTACTGGTTTCCACCTTGGACTCTGATCTGTAAAATGGATTCCTAAGAAGCCCCTAATGTGAACAACAGCAACAACAACAAAACATAATAAAAATAAGCAGTGATCTCAGTTTTTAGATAGAGAAGAATACATGAAATTGTAGTAAAAATACATAATAAAATTCCAAAAGGGTGTCAATTATGATAACCTGTCTAGTTCTATTTACCCTCAGACTGTAGCAAATCCTGCATGAAGGCACATACTTGCATTGCTGCGTAATTCAAGAGCCAGCATATTTTTCTAAGCCAAACTGTGAGTTGAGTGGTTGGATACTCTAGTTGACAGGCAGAGTAAAGCCATAGATTTACGATTTGGGATATCTGACATGAATTTGGTTAAGGATCAAACAGGAGGACCAAATGAGCAGGACTAATTTTCACTCACTCTTTCAATAAATATTAATTAAGCTGTAACTACATGCTCAACATTGTACCAGATATGATAGGAGATACCAGACTGTCTCAATGAGTAATTTATACTTCAGCTAGGAAGATACACTTCATCCCTATTAAATACAAATAATAATAATATGAGGTAATGCATAATTTTCAAATGGTCCCCCTCCACTCCAGTATTGGGGATTGAATTTAGAGCCTTTGCCCTTAGCTATATCCCCAGTTATTTTTTTTTTAATTTTTAATTTTTTGAGACAGGTGCTTGCTGAGTCAGGCTGGGCTGGAACTTTCTATTTTCCTGCTTCTGCCTTCCAGAGTGCTGGGATTACAGGCCTGCCCTGTCATGCCTGGCTTGCTAAGAGCTCTTGTCAGTCACCCTATAGGGCAGGTGGCATTATCCTCAATGTAACAAATGAGACCATTGCAGTTCATTTTAGAAATTTTTATTAGTCCATGTTTGTAGTTCGTAGTGATTATATTAATTATGGGGAGTTGGTACATGTACATAACACATCTTAATTCTTTTTACCTGTCCTCTTCCCCTCTATCCGTCCCTCTCCCTCCATCTCTTGGTGTCCCCATCTGCAAAAGATCTATCTCCATTTCCTATCATCTTTTATTTTTCGTTTTAATTTATTTTTTAGTTTTATTTTTTTGAGACAGGATCTCGCTGTGTAGTTCAGGCTGGCCTTGAACTCGCAGCAGTCCTCACGAGTGCTAGGATTACAAGCGTGGGTTTCTTATGTAAGAGAAAGCATGCACTATTTAAGCTTTTGTGTTTGATTTATTTCACTTAACATTGTAGAGACCACTGAAGTCCAAAAATCTAAAACATCAGGCCTAAAGTCATACTGCTTATACATGGCAGAACTGGAATTTGAATTAACTCCAAATGCTAATCTACTAAAGAAATTGTTATAGGAATTCAGAGAATGGGGAAAAGGCTTCAGGAAGTAAAGGAGGAAGGACCCAATGGTTTAAATGCCAGTGAATGCAAGACTAGAAAAGAGCTTGTGGAGGCAATAGTTACATTAGCTGACCAGTAGGATTCCTGTGTGGGCCAGATTTGGGTGAACAAACCTAGGTTCAACTCGTAGTCCCACAGATGAACTGTGCGCCTGGCCAGGTGACTAAGCAGGACGCTGTCTCCAAAGGTGTAGCTAAGTGAACCCCGTCCTGGCCTCCCCCTTTCCCTACCAGAGTTGTCTCGGCTTCTGAACGGATGCTGCCACTGGGGGCAGTGGGAGAGCCTCTCCGGCCTTGGGTGGGGTTGGCGGCAAGCCCCCGGGCCCTCCTCACCGCCTGGGGGAGAAACAGCCTCCTACCCCGCCTGCAGCCGAGTTCTTTGAAGCTTCCGCCTGCCGCCCCTTTTCCTCCCGCCGCTGGAGAAACTTTGAGGATTGAGCTCCACGGCGGGGGCGGGGCTAGGGCCGGGGCCAGGGCGCGCGTGGGCAGAGCAGGGCGGAGCTAAGGCGATTGTAAGGTCCTC